CGGGGTAAAATTCTTAGATGGCTGCGTGCCTATTTGGCTGACCGCTCCTTCCAGGTGCAATTTGAAGGAGAAATGTCAAACATGAAATCAATCAAATCTGGCGTCCCCCAAGGGGCCATTCTCTCCCCACTGTTATTCAACATTATGATGAAGGATCTCCCATCACTGCCAGGGGTATCTGTAGCTGACTATGTTGAGGATGCAACCTTTTTCACTGCCAGTCCAGACATAAATATTGCCACCACTAGACTACAGTCACAACTATCACTGTTTTTCAACTGGACTAAAAGCTGGGGCCTGACACTCAATCTTTCTAAGACTAAATGCATGTGCTTCACAAACAAGCAACTCAAACCTCCTCCATTGAATGTAAATGGAACTATTCTAGAATATGTGCAGACCAATAAATATCTGGGTGTGGTCCTTGATGCTCCCCGTCTGAGACGGGAACCCCAAATAACTTCTCTTAAACTCTCTTGCATCCCAATAATCAACCTATTACAATCAATTTCCAATCGGCACTGGGGAGCCGATCGAGCACTATTGTTGAAACTATACAAGGTTCTCATCCAGAGTTGGCTGGATTATGCTGCTGCCTTCTATGCTTCTGCAATAGTAATCTTGGGTGTGATGAAATTATTTATTGCTTATTTTTCCATTCCAGGTGTTTAACTCAATTACGGCTTAATTTATGAAGCAAAAACACAATCATGAAAGTTGTCTTTATGGTTGCAGAGAAGCCTTCTCTTGCCCAGAGTATTGCTGAAATCCTAAGTAACAGATCTCAGCGCTCCAAAAAAGGTATGCCATATGTATGCAAATTAGTGGATTCAAATCTTGAGTCTTGGATCATATACCATATATACTGTGTATATCAAAATCACAAGTTCCCAATTGACATTTTACTATATCTTCTGCAGATATAAAAGGATCATATGGTCAAGAAATAATGTATGTGAAATAAATAAGAAATAAGTACATGTAAAAATCAAGCATTTATAAGATCAGATGTTTATGCATGCCAGACTCTGGAAAATGGTAATTAAAAGTGAGTGGATTTTCTAAAATTCTTACGGTAATTTGTATCGTTTGACTTGAAGTGATCTCAAGATTTGGAGGTAGTTTGTGATTTTGAAGACTAAACTCTACTGACAGAAACTATGTGAAGAAATTTTTCAGTAATATTTTATTTTTTCAAGTCTGGCTTGTGTCTATTTTTTTATTACCTACTGAAAAGTCACCAGAATTTAAAGACCTTTCTCACATATTTTAATCCAGTCTGAAGCCATGCTACACTACAGTAATAGCCATTTCAGGTTGAGTTATGGATATCTATAAGGAATATTAACAAGCTGGCATGTTTTTAATCTAATTCCTTATGGACTTGTAGGCTAGGATGAAGCCATCATAGTTTGTTAAAAGGTGATTTCTTGCAGTATGTTTCAAAGTGGTGCCAAACAGCAGCTGCGCATTGCTTGAACGCTAAATATTTTTTATCCCTGTTTAATTGACTAATGAGTAGTGTCTACTGTGGTTCTAAAGTGGCATCTGCAGTGTTGGAAAACTGCAAACTTTCAGCCCACTTTACATGCTGAAAGGAGCCCAGTCTTTCTAAATATTAGATCTCTTCTCCCATTTTACACAATGATTAACGAAAAAAATAATTTCAGCTCAGATGTTGCTATGATGAATAAAATACTTCCATTGGCTTTCAGAAGTCTTGTCTCTTTAGATCTCACTCCATCCTCTGGGTCAGAACATGATTGACCAAGCATACATTGTACAAATTAACTTTGTAAAATATCATGCAATGCAAATGCTGTCTTCTTTCTTAGTAATTCTTGTATGCACATGTTAAATTGATTTCCAATTTTCAGGGGCTAATGGGGCTTGCTCTACACATGAGTGGGTGGGGACTTTTCAAGGCCACCCTGCCAGGTTCAAGATGACATCTGTTTGTGGTCATGTGATGACATGTGATTTCCCGGGCAAATACAATAACTGGGATATTGTAGATCCTGTAAGTATAATTTTTAAACATAAATATTCATTACATATTGATGTTGCAGTGCAATTTTTAAAAGGTTTTTAGATTTTTATAAATCATATTATATCATTTTTTTCAATCAAATGAGCTGAAACTGTTGTTGAAAGATGTCAGCTCATTCAATTCCATGACAATTTCAATTATTTTTATTGAATAATCTATTATCTATTCATTATTATCTTGATAATTTTATCTTTAATAATTGCATCACATTTAATTTTATCTTTTAAATGTATATCTTCAAAGTTAGGATAAGTGTTTATGAAGGTCTATTTTTGTATGCTTTTTATATTCATAAATTAATTATATTTTTTTCAAGATTTTTGCGACATTCTAATGTCGCAAAAATGTTCTTGACATTCTAATGTGTAAACCTTGGCAGATAGACTAGAAACCAGGGCCCATACTTTCAATAAAAGTTAAGAGATCGAAAGTTCATCAGCCAATCATTGACGGCCTTTCAAGCAAAATCCACCAATCATAGGAAAAAAAAATAGAGCGTAAGTACTTACGTTCACATAGCAAGTTTTGAAAGTATGGCCCCTGGCATTATTTAACTTCCATAGACTTTTATGTGGGATTTTGCTGTTATATTCTTCTATGCTTTTCTGACAAGGACATGAGGAAATTCCAGCAACTAGGTCAGTTTGTATAATCGTGTTTGACTCGTTTTCCTGATTGATACTGTTTATTGCGACAGGCTGATCTCTACAGCTGCCCTATTGAGAAGAAAGAAGCCACTCCTAAGCTCCGTATGCCATACTTTCTTGCTCAGGAAGCCCGAGGCTCAGACTACTTGGTTCTATGGCTAGATTGTGACAAGGAAGGAGAGAATATATGCTTTGAAGTCATGGACTGCGTGGCCAGATCCATGAATCCTCCTTATAATCCAGCAGAGCAGGTAGCCTCACATTGTTCATAGGTCTGGTCATGAGAAGAAATTAGTAGTAGTCAAGTAATTATCAGAGCTGGAATCCATATTTGGACATGAACACTTCAGTTTCTGATGAGCTTATTAATGCCTGAAGATTTGATACTCTGCTTTCTATGCCCTCTTCATCGTTTAATGCAGTTTGTTCGTATGAGTTATTTAGAGATTGTCTGTTTTTATTTTTATGAGTACCGGTATAATGTAAAGATCTGAAGGATTTCCAATCTCAGGGTTGGACGATGCCATGCCTCTATTTTATAAAGTAACAATAATTATAATCTTTTCTACCCTACAGACAGTTTTTCGGGCAAAGTTTTCAGCCATTACTGATAAAGATATCAAGGCAGCCATGCAAGACTCGGGTCAGTACTTCATTGCTTGCATCTCCTTTTTTTATTCTAATGACAAAACATATTTCTGGTCGAGTGCTCAATCCTTCAATTAGTTCTGATCATTGAAATTTGATTCTTGAAATAATTGTGTGGTTCAAACTAAACCACCAGCTGGAGATTTTCCTTTAGCTTTAAAATTTGGCTGAATTATAGTTTCATTTTTTTAAATCAAAGATTCTACAATTAAGTGTAGCATTAGATTCATTTTTGGCGTTCAAATCTTGCTTTGCATTACTTGAGTGAAGAGTGTGAAGCCACGAACGCCATTCATCTTATATCTGCTAATGTGCTTGCAATATCAGTGTTATTTTTTCTCAGCATTTCCTGAACCCCATATTGATTGTATCTTGGCGCATTCTGACCAATATATTTTGATTATATTGCGTTTGTACGAAATTGTGATATATATACATAGGTATATATAATCGATATATAATTGTGATATATTTAAATATATTTAATCAACCATTTTTGGCTTTCAGCTCTGGTAGCTCCTAACGAGAATGAATCCAGATCGGTTGACGCCAGGCAAGAGCTGGACTTGAGAATCGGATGCTCCTTCACGCGATTCCAGACTAAATTTTTCCAGGTACCTACATTTACAATTTATCAAAAGTTTATTTATGTTGATAAAACATGTTCTGAACTCGATACATATTTCAACTCAAAGGGTTTTTGGATCTAAACTATTTATTGATGACTTTGAAATGTCGTCTGCATTTATTTTTTCATTTAGTAGGACTTTTAAACAAACTTGGACAGAGTTTTCTTCCACTGCATGTTGAAAAAAATTGAAATTCAGATTATTATTAATTTATAATATTTTTAGCATCGATGGTCAAAACCAAGTTGTGCAATTAACAAATGATGAGCAATCATTTATTTATTTCGTTGTCGAGAGTGAATATATTTATTCCATATATTTTTCTTCAAGAATAAGTACGGCAACCTGGACTCTACTGTGATATCATACGGCCCCTGCCAGACGCCCACGCTTGGCTTCTGTGTCACGAGGCACGACGTTATTAAGAGCTTCAAGCCTGAGACATTCTGGGTCTTGCAGGTATTTATCAACTAACTTACTCAGCGTAACAGCTTCCATAGGATTATACAAATTTAATTGCTAATTCATGCTATAAGATTATTAGTTGAAAAAGACAAATCACGATAATTTGTTTCTTTTTTTATCTTGCATTAAATGTAAGAAGTATCAGGAAATTCGGAAGAACATATGGGAAAAAGAGCATTCAATATTTTTTCTCTTGTATCTTTATGCAGTTACTCGTCCGGGGTATTGGTAGAAGTTGCATGTTTATGGTTTGTATTCCTTAGACTTTGTATTCCTAAAGCTCTTGTTCCTGCCTCTGAGCTCGCGGTATAAGACTGCAGATCAAAATTGTAGTGTTAGGCAGCTATGTATGCAGGATTCTCTTAATATTGGCGTGTCATTGTCGCGAGAAAGTTAGGCAACCTCAAGAGCTTACATTTGTTTTATTCAAATTGTTGGATCTTTGCATGCCTTAATTATCCACCCACTGTTAAGTTTCATTTCAATTTGTCAAGAAAGAATCAACCTTACGGGAACTCGCGATCTGAACAAGAGATACATTAGTCAGATACGTACCGATTATTAAATCTATAGCTTCACTGCACTATTGATTCCTAGTAAAATGACGAAAGAGTTTTAAAATATAAATCTGGCTCGCAGATTGCCTGCAGGTTGAGTCCAAAGTATTCTTAGAGATCACCACAAATTAACCAAAATGCTGCTATTACTTTGGGACAGGCCAAATATGGCGGCATCTTGGCTGCAAGAGAACTCTAACTTGAAAAATAACCATTTAAAAAGTAGAGCTTGGTATTGGAGACATTGAGTCTCGTTCAGACATCAGCCACTCAAGTAGCTAAATAATTCACATTAATTGTTGTCATTATCTGATGAACACTTAGTTTTGTTTATGAAACGCACTGAGATGAATGAGCGGTAAGAGCATCAGGCATTGACTCGGTAAGGCTAGTTTACAATGATTATTGCAAGTCATTAAAGTGTCCAAGTTTTTTTTATCACGCTTTCATTAACAGGCTCGTATGAGGCGACAGCATTAGACGCACCGCTTTATTATATTCTCAAGTGCGTTGACTAAATAAAATACGAGTATCTTATTGACTGAACAAAATATGATACTAAGTGCAGAGACATCCTGTTAATTTCATCAGTCTGGTAATGCAGAAAAGAAACGCACCGCATTGGTTTTTAGAACTTTGGGCAACTGTGCGTACAAACGACTTCTTTTACTGCTATTTTATTTTCTGTTATTGTCGACCTATTTGTTATTTATCTCTGAAAGGATGTTTCCTTCTTGCTATCCACACCATTCACCACTTTTTGTTTATGAATAACTTCTGATTCAAAAAAATTATCAGTTTTTTTCATAGTTATCATCTACTTAAAATTAACAATTAAATTATCACAGTTATCATCAACTTTGTTGGTAGTGAATTATTTCTCATATCCGTAAAATACCTCAATGGCTGAAGCACAAATAAACTACCTAGTACGCGTGCATTTCACTACCAGTGCTACATGCAGTCATTTCCATGGCACTCTCTGTATGCATAGGCTGTGGCTTGATGCAGCAACATGTATGGTATGTGTCTCCCACAGGTGTCGATTGCTCTGAAGAATGACAAAACGGTGAGGCTGGACTGGGAAAGAGGAAGGCTTTTTGATAAGGAAGTGGCACAATTGTTCCTCAATATGGTCAAAGAAAATTCTACTGCCAGGTGAGAAACGGGGAAATGATCAGAAATCATCTAATATTGATTTATACCGCATCTTAAGTAGCAGTTCATCCATTCATATTTCATTATTTCTGCCAAAGAATAAGATCTTTATCCTTGAATTTTGTAATTGTATCATATTTTTATGAAGTTTTTGTCATTCTATACACATCTATATAGCAAGCTATTCCAAACCGCTAATATTCGTACATCTTGGTTTAGTTCAAAAATGTACGAAGATGAAAACCCAGTTTCAGGTCTTAATTTATGTAGGAGTGACTAAAGCCATTGGTCTTCTTACCAACATTGTAATTGGCAGCGTGGTGAGCATCATTTCTAAGGAGAAGACGAAGGCGCGACCACAAGCCCTGAACACAGTGGAGCTCATGAAGGTCGCGAGTGCAGGTCTCGGCATGAGCCCGCAGTCTGCCATGGTGGTGGCCGAGCGCCTCTACACGCAAGGCTACATCAGTTACCCCAGAACTGAGACGTCCAGCTACCCTGAGAACTTCGACCTCATGTGGGTGTTCTAGAGGTCTCCGGAGTTGTAGTCCGCGTAATTATCGCATGACATTTAATGGAATAAGAGTTGCAATTGTATGGTGATGGGGTGGGTAACAATAGTTACTCATTTATGGTTAGTATGGTAGTTACTCATTGTGCGAGATTTAGTTTAAATGAAATCCATTTCGTTCCGACGTCGCTGCTCGAAAGAAATCAACCCCATCAAAAGAAATATTGTAATGAAAAATCGTGATTTCAAATGTGTTCGGTGTCAAAGGAGGGGTACGCTTGTACTGGCCATTCGTATTGACAAGAACTTAATCGACAACAAAGAAACGTGAATTTGCTTGTCGAGCATGCTGCATTAATTTATCGCACAATTTTTAAAAATTAATCACATATAATATTAAAGTGACATGGAAGCGAGTTCAAACAAGACCTAGTTCAAAAGGCTCCAAAATTCAGAGTCCAAAAAATTGATTATAAGCATGATTGAAGAATAAGGTAGATTCAGAACGCTTATATTTTGCAGCGGGGCGCTGCAGATACAAGCGGGGCACCAGGACTGGGGCACGACGGTGCGGGAGCTGCTGCGGGAGGGCATCAACAGGCCCAAGAAGGGGCACGACGCAGGGGACCATCCACCCATCACCCCCATGAGGGCGGCAGAAAGACATCACCTCGACCTGGACTCCTGGAGGATCTACGAATACATCACCAAGCATTTCATCGGCACTGTGAGCTCCCGTGGTCCTGGCTCACTTTAGTGGCATCGTTAACGTGTTGAGAAATGTTGCTTTATGTCAAAATATCGTGGTTCGTGTCGGCGAATCGTGTTTTGTGTCAAGGAATCGTGTTTTGTGTCAGGGAATCGTGTTTTGCGTCGGGGAATCGTGGTTCGTGTCAGGGAATCGTGGTTCGTGTCCGGGAATCATGTTTCGTGTCAGCGAATCATGTTTCGTGTGAGGGAATCGTGTTTTGTGTCGGCGAATCGTGTTTCGTGTCAAGGAATCGTGTTTTGTGTCAGGGAATCGTGTTTTGTGTCAGGGAATCGTGTTTTGTGTCAGGGAATCGTGTTTTGTGTCAGGGAATCGTGTTTTTTTGTCGAGGAATCGTGGTTCGCGTCAGGGAATCGTGGTTCGTGTCCGGGAATCATGTTTCGTGTCAGCGAATCGTGTTTCGTGTCAGGGAATCGTGTTTTGTGTCGGCGAATCGTGTTTCGTGTCAGGGAATCGTGTTTCGTATCAGGGAAACGTATTTCGTATCAGGGAGTTGTGATACAGCCAGGGCATCATAGTTTGTGTCCTTGAATATTGGTGCGTGGCCTAATAATTGTTCACGATAGAATAGTGAACTTTTGCCATGGACGAGAATCTTGGTTTAAATTGTGCAAGCTGCTGTCTGCTGATGAACAGAAACGGAATCGTCAGTTATCTGGGACACTAATATTCTGCAATCGCAGGCAGCGTTCGTTTGATTGCAATTTTCCGTATATTGATTGCCTTTAACACCATTAAAGTAATGTGTATTGTTGACAGCTGATGCCGGATTGCAAGTACCTCTGTACAGTCATGACATTCAACACCATTAACGTAATGTGTATTGTTGACAGCTGATGCCGGACTGCAAGTACCTCAGTACAGTCATGACATTCAACATCG